ACACCATTGACATTTTCAATTGCATCTTAGTTTTTTAACCCTTTAAAGAAATATCAAATAATTTAAATGATGGGTTTACTGTAATATCGAGTTAAACAACCAGCATGTTTGTATTTTTTTGTGTGTGTTTTTGTAAAAATCAGCAATACAGTTGTTTTTCTCAACATAAATAACAATAGTTGTCTGTTTTAGTCAAGGTTCTTTTTATTCAAGTAAGAGAAATTTCTAACTGGTTTGAGCCAGAAAATTAATTTTAAAAATACTGGATGGTGAATAAATGTTTTCAAATTTTGGGAATAGATACCACTGCTGAGTTCTATGATAACTCTGTTCTTAATTTTTTGAGAAACCTCCACACTGGCTGTGCCAGTTTACATTCCCACCAATAGTGAATGAGGGCTCTTTTTTCTCCACAACCTCTTTAACACTTGTTACTTGTCTAGTTGATGATAGCCATTCTAACAGGTGTGAAGTGGTATCTCGTAGTTTTGATTTGCATTTTCCTGATAATTAGTGATGTTGAGCATTTTTTCATATATTTGTTGGTCATTTGTATGTCATCTTGGGAGAAGTGTCTATTCAGGTCTTTTGCCCATTTTTTAATTGGACTGTTTTACTGTTGGAGAGTAGTATGAATTCTTTATAGATTTTGGATATTAACCTCTATTGAAGATATTTACAAATATATTCTTCTATTGCCTTTTATTTTGTAGGCAGTTTCTTTTGCTGTGCAGAAGCTTTTCAATTTGATATAATACTATTCATTTATTTTTGTCTTTACTTCCCTAGACTTTGAGGGTCAAATTTATAAAATCCTTTCTAAGACCAAGGTCCATAAGTTTAGTACCTCTGTTTTATTCTATGTAATTTATTGTTTTATTTTATTTTATTATTATTATTTTCTAATCCTCACCCAAGGACATTTTTGCATTTATCTTCAGATGAGCAGAAGGGAAAGAGGGGGGAAGAGAGAGAGAGAAACATCAATGTGAGAGAGACACATCGACTGGGGACAAACTACATCTGAGGTACATACCCTTAGTGGGAACCGAACCTAAGACTCTCTGGCCCACGAACCCATGCTCTAACTGCTGAGCCAAACTGGCCAAGGCCATAATTTATTGCTTTAGATCTTATAGTTAGGTCTTTGATCCATTTTGAGTTCATTTTTGTATATTGGGACAAACAGTAGTCTAGTTTCATTCTTTTACATGTGGATTTCCAATTTTCCAGGCACCATTTTTGAAGAGGCTTTCTTTTCTCCATTGCATGCTTTAGTGTCCTTTGACAGATGACTGGATAAAGAAGATGTGGTATATAGATACAATGGAATACTACTCAGCCAAAAGAAAAGATAAAACATTCCCATTTACGACAACATAGATGGACCTTGAGAATATCATGTTAAGCAAAATAAGTCAGACAGAGAAAGTTAAGAACCATATGATTCCACTCATATGTGGAATATAAAACTGAAACCAACAAATGAACAAACAAGTAAAACAAACAAAGAAAAACACATAGACACAGACAACTATATGGTGGTTACCAGATCATACCCAGGGAAAGGGAATAAAGGGATAGTAAAGGGTTAAAAGGGTCAAATATATAATACAGAAGGTGATTTGACTTTGGGTGTTGGACACACAATGCAATAGGAAGTTCACGTATCATAGAAATCTAACTTGATGCCCTGGCCGAATTGGCTCAGTGGTTAGAGCATCGGCCTGCGGTCCCGAGACACCCGGGTTCGGTTCACGCTAAGGGCATGTACCTTGGTTGCAGTTTGTCCCCGGTCCTGGTTGGGTTGTATGGGTGACAGGCACTCAATGTGTCCCTTTCGTGTCCATGTTTCTCTCTCTCTCTCTCTCTCTTCCTCCCACTCTATCTGAACAAAAAATGAAAAAATGTTCTCGGGTGAGGATAAAAATACACTTGAAACCTATATAATCTTACTAACCAATGTCACCTCAATAAATTTCATAAAAAGAAAGAATAAAAGGAAATAAGTCAACATGAAAGAATGTTGGAAGGCAGCTGAGCCTCTTTCAGAGCCCATATGCACCTATGATGAGTGTGAAGAATTTGGAGATAAGAATCTGAGCATTTGCTATGGGTAGAATAAGGCATATTTTAATGGCAGTACCCTGTCAGGGCCTCTGTAGCCCTTCTCCTTGGCATCTCCCTTCTTCAATTCCTGGGATTTGCTATAAATCTGTTTTTAAATCTTGCTCCCTTTGGTTTTAGTGTTTTTAAAAACTTGGTTCTGACATTCTTGAGATTTGTACACTTCTAAGCCATTTCATAAAGCAGTTTATATCAAAAGTCAGTTTATAAAAATTACAGAACAATAGCACGTTAGAGACATTGTAAGAAAATATAAAAATGAGTAATCTTTAGCACTGTATGCAATGATTGTAAAAAGATAGCTATGAGGATTTATGCATTCCCATTTATTCATCCACAATAGATTCATTTTATAGTTATAACTTTTTCTCTTTTTGGCAACTTCCAAGTCTCATGGAAAGGAAGAAAACAACTTAAAGAAAAGATTATAAAACACCTTCAAGAAATTATTTTACTGGCTAACTCAGGGGGAGACTGGAGCAGTAGAGAACCACTACTTAAAAGGAGGATACAGGGTCTTATCTTTGAGAATCTGGGAGTTGCATAAAAGCCCAAATGATTTTTAACATTGAGTAAGGGGAGAAAGGGTTTAGAAGAACTTCACTTTAAAGATATCAGAGGCAAATGAATAAGAAATAAGTACACTATAAGATTTTCCATTAATTCATACTCTCTGTAGGCTGATTTATTCTTGTGCTGTAAACTTGTTCAAGTTGGGGTGTAGTGTATTGAAGACTGATCTGGTGTTTCTCAAAGTAGGACCCACAGATTCTAGTGGTTCATTGATGTAGTCTTGGGTGTCTATGATTCTCTATCAGAATTTTTAATTGTATTTATTTATTTTATGGAGAAGGGTGGACTCTATCAGAATTTTTTAAATAATTTATTGTAAAATTCATATATTTATAATTATGTAACGTAATTATTTTTTATTCGTGAATATTGAACTACCATTTGATTTATTTTATAATCACACTGATACCAAGTGATCACCTAAGTAGTATCATTTACTTTTCAGTAGTCGTTCATAAATTAATAGTTTAAAGGTGTTAACCATAGAAGAGGTTCAGGCTCTGATAAAGAACAAAAGTCGTGCAGAATCAGATAGCAACCCCAAATGCCCTGGAAGGAACAAAAAAAAGACACGGTGCCACAAAAAAAGTAATTCTTTCATGCAAATGAAGGATTGCTGGCTAGGTTGACAGTGACTGGTTGGTTCTAATATGCAAAGGAGGGAGGAGAAAACTACAAGGAAAAGGGTAAAGTCCATATATGTCCATCCAGCCATTGTTGTTCCAAGGTATTTATGGCTAGGCCTTGAGCTGAATTTAACCACAGACTTAGCAACTTAATAGCAGCTCTGAGAACTGAAGCACAAGATGCGCACAGATCCCACCCCACTCTAATTTAAGTGACTGTCTTAGCAATACTAATGCCATTCCATTTTCTCCATTATCAAAGGTTATGGACAGAAAAAGCAATTAGCATTGTCCTCAGTTTAATGTTTTCAATGTAATGTGTAATTACTTTATTATGTGCTTAACTGTTGAGCTAAAGGGGAAAACATAGTTAAAACAGGACTCTACCCAAGTATAAAGAGGACTGATTTCTGGTCCTAGCTTTAGGACCTCCAAGCTATGAGACTCAGGAAAGTCAATTAAGATTCTTGGACTTCAGTTGCCTTGTATTTAACATAAGTTTGGCTAGAGGTAGGTAATCCCTAAACTTGGTTTTCATTTCAAAACTGTCATGCTGTATCTTTTGTTAATGGAAAAGGTATCAGGGAGAAGAAAATTGATTCAGTTGAGAAGATCTTGGGGGAAATTTCCAGTACCATCTTCTTCTAATTACAAAGATAGTGGGATGTAAGAACCAAATATTTATTGAGTACCTTTCTGTGCCTGACACTATTCCAGCTCCTGTAAATGTGACGGGTGACTCCGTGAATTACATTATATAATTCCTTTTGACAGTTGTAATTGCATTGAGTGTCCTAGGGCACAGAATGACTAAGGATGGAGTCTGCAAAGGAATGTGGCTTGCCTGATTCTAAATCCTAGATTCCACTGTAATACATTATATTTGCTAGCCTTGTAAAATGCTTCCCCCTCTTTATCCTTCTATTTTCACATTCAATTTAAAATTTAGTAAATTAAATTATGAGCAGTGTCCCCACCTATAAGTAAATAAAGTTCCTCTCATCCTCTAAGAGTGGGCTTATATGAGAATAATCCTCATTGCCCTTCCCACACAGAGGTTTACCAGGGTAAAACGGTTTGTTGCCCCTCCCCCCCAGCCCAATACAGAAGTCCACAATTCTGAGGTAAACATCTGAATGAAGCAAATAAGCATGATCTGGTGGTTGAGGCAGTTTTCTTTTTTCTTTTTTTTTTAAGACGTAACACAGTGCAGAGATTCAGGCTGAGTTGAAAGAAAGGAGAAAAAATAAAGGGAAAAAGCCTGTAGAGGTGCCCTGAGCGCAGCAGGAACTGTGTTAATGCTTTCTTCATAAAGGCTGAAAACAAGGCATGTTCTAATTGTATTCCAGTGCTACTTTTGCCACTTTTTCTTATTAAGCAGCAGAGGTGTTTTTAAATTGTGTTAGGAAACACATCCAGTACAGAAAGGCGAATAGTCCTGATCAAGGGTTCCAGGGAGGAGGTTCAAAAGGAAATTCGGCGGGGGACCAGGGGTGGGGGTGGGGGAATTGTGTTTCTGCTTGGAACCAGGCAAAAACAGGGTAAGGTAAGGCCTCGCCTTCTGCAGTCGGGCTTCTCTCACATTCCACTCTCCGCCCCATCGGTCGTGCGTGCAAACGCCGATAGCCTGGCGGGCCCATAGGAAATGACCATCAGAGATTGAAGAAAGTCAGCGCGCTTGAACACTGGCGTCCGGCGTGGAAGAGTCCTCGGAGACCGCCAGAAGTGAGCCAGCCGGAGTCTGGGAGAGTTCCCTTCTGGCCGAGAGGGGGAGCCCCGCGTTCCCAGCCGGGAGCGACCCCGAGTTCCGAGCCTCCAGCCCCAGCCGCCGCCAGCGCCAATTTTGGCTTCAGCCGATTAGAAAGAGGAGGGAGAGGGCAGAGAGCGTGGAGAGGGAGGGGACCGGAGCCGGAGGGTCCCGAATCGAGCCCTGCACTGACGTACAGAAACTTTCCTGGTCGGCCACGGAAACGTCGCCGCGGCGGTGCCGGAGCAGCGATCGCCGGGCTCCGGGGACGCCGCAGCTCTCCACGCCCCTGCCCCGAGCCTGACCCACTGCATCGGTCAGTAAGGTACGGAGAGCCCGCGATTCCTCTGTGGTCTTCGCGGGCTGCCAGCCCAGCCTGCGGCCAGGTAGCGTGCCATCTCTCCGAAACTGCCATCCCGAGAGGTGCGGGCGGTGGTCTGCGCCCGCCGCGGGTCCGAGAGGGAGGGCGCGGGGCTGCGCGCCGCCGGCGGGCAGGTTGCAAAAATTAGGACAGTGAAAGGCTGTGGGTGCCGTCCAGCAGGAAAGGAGGCTAAGACCTGTTGACGACTTCAATGGCAGTGTTTCTGGGAGGACGGCGGAGTCTCACGAGGTCGGGGACGCAGCCTCTCCCGACTCCTGGAGCCTCCTTCTAGCCCTTTGTGGTAACTTTGGCTGGGCTGGCCGGGCGGTGGGCAGGAGCTGGGGTGGGGCGGGGGGCGCCCGTGGATCAGTACCGCTGAGGGTGGTGGACCGGACAGGACAGAGCCATCGCTGGGTCACAGCGAAGCGACCCAGGAGCGAAACTTCTTCCATCGTAACCTCCCTTTTGTTGGCTCCGGAGAGTGGGCATGGGGGCGGGGAGGCGCGGAGCTCCGAGGCGCGGCGGAGGATTCTTTGAAGCCCAGGGCTGGGAGGGCCCTAACTCAGGGGCGGCGCCCACAGGGTACCCTTCGGCTGGGTGAGTCAAATAGCTCCTTCTGGCGGGCGCTTCACCAGAGGGGCGCACCGCGCGGCGGAGTGATGAGACCCTGGGATCTCGATCCCGCAGCCGGTCCTCCAAACGGATCCTCCTCCCCGGTCCTCCTCACCGCGGGCTGACTCACGACACGGATCAGAACCCTGCGCGATCGGTTCTTCCTCGTGGCTCCTGGGGCCGCCGCTCTGACTTCCCCGTGTGCGGGAGGGAACCCCGGGCAGGCTGGTTTTCTTGGAATGTGTTTACGATGTTGAATGGGACTTGGAACAGGAAGCTGGACGCTGCAGCTGTAACCAGCGTACCAGGGTAAAGAAGATGTAGCTGGTGTTAGGCTTGGCGAGACCACTTAGTACTTTGGACAAACCCCGATAAAGTGCAGGCTGGCGGTCAAGGTACCCCTTCCTAGGTCCTGGCAATTTTTCCCAACTGAGCTTGCCTTACTTTCGCTTGCAATCAGACTTGTACTTGCACTGTTTCAGTCTGCAAGCTTGACAAAGGGTAATGCAATCAATTAGGAAGGATTTAAGACATTATTTGGGCACCTTCTTTTTTAAAAACAAAAACGTTGCACCAACACTTGAGGATAAAAGTTTTTTGGAGAGTGTTCTAGTTATGACACCACTTGATAATTTCTAGGACTTTTGGAGGAACGCGGTGCTGAAGATTTTGTAACTGATACCAAATGGGTCATTAGGTACTAACCGGGTGGTAATGAGACAGTGAGTGTTGGAAAGTCAGAAACAGAGGAGTTGGAAAATTTTCAGATTAACAAATCTCCGGGTTTCTCTGCCAGTCTTTCCCTCCTTCCCTCACAAAAACAAGTAGCCTTGCTAGAAAACCCACCAATTGGGAGAGTGCTGTGCCGTCTCTGGCGACTACAAGCCTTGCTGGAAACAGCCCACAAGCTAAGGTACTGCCCCACTGCATAATTAAAAAGTCTCCTTGAGCTGTCCAGGAGTGTTTTCCAAGTTTTTACGACTGACAAGGAAAGAAGAGAGGAACCTGGCCTGCAGCCAAACTAGACTGAGCTCAGTAGCCAGGCATGAAAGAGACAGGGGAAGTTGCAGGGGATAATTGGAAAGGAGCTGCTGGTTGTACTTGGGTTTAAACAAGGGATTTCTTTTGCAATTAGAGATTTTCGGTGACTAAGATCAGCCTTCTTGGCAAAAAAAAAGTCAACCAAACGTAGAGTGCAGTCGGATATGACCCAGGAGAGTGAAAGAAGTGCTGTAGGAGTAAAGTATGATCATTCCTTATCAGTGTTGCAGTGGACTAGCTGAGGGCCTGATGCTGCTTGTGATGGTCACACTTTGCAGTTGCCTACATTTTGTTGCTGTTTGTCTCCTTAGCTTGGACTAGGCTTGCTGAAACTTCAGTCCCTTGACCTTGACCTTCTTTGTTTTCATAGCCAGTAAGAATTGAAGACTTGAGCTTTGAGCAGATGGTTTTCCACCTAAATTGAATAATTCAATTAGGTATTCTCAAATGGCACAGATTTGGGTCATGGAATTAAAGTGAAAAACGTGTCCAGAATGTCTTTCTTGTGTTTGTCAAAAGCGATCCTGATAAATATGTCTTGCTCTTTCACCTGAAGGAGTAGAATTTGCATGATTTTGGTATTTCACACAACATTTGCCCAGTACTAAAGGCCCTGCTGCTTTTGAGTTCCAGAGCAGCCAGAAACTCAGAGCCTTATCTGCAATTCAGATCCTTCTTTTATGTATTAAAATTGGTTGTATATATATATTTTCAGGGATATAGGTCTACTAGTGTGAGTTTGGGGGTTGAGTGGTTAAAAAACACTAATGTGGTTTGTATTGCCTCTGGACTGATAAATTTGTGATTGTGAATATCAGTCTGCTCTCTCAGACTGACTTTATGAATCACCCTTGGCAAAGTGTTTTCCCTGTCTATGATTTCAGTTTTTCCACTTGCAAAGTAAAGAAACTTTCCTTTACATAATTACAAGCTTAGTGTGAGCATTAAAGAGATGAAACTATATTAATAGGTTTTTAGACACATTGACCATAGGGTTTCTGACTTAGTTGATTCATTAGAGATTATAGTGATAAAATAGTAATATTTACATCTAAAATGCACATATAATGTGGGCATATCTGTATTTAATTTATAAAAAGTATTGCCTTTTTATTTTAATAATAGCAAAGCTTAAATAAACTAAAGTTTAATAATAAATTTTAATTTTTGAGACTATTGGGTGAGATTTTGTTATGGCTAAAGCTGAGTCATTCTCTCAAACAGAAAAAAAAAAACAATCAGCAAATTCATTTATTTTTATTTCGGTTTATATTTATACCCAGGACCGGTTGTTTTTTGAGTTCAGCTCAAGTTTGTCTTTTTTGAGATGTTACCAGATATATTTGCAGAATTTGGCTCCCTTCTTGGAAATAACACTTGGGGGACTAAAATACATTTATGATGTACAAACTTTCTTTTTCCAGTGGCCACAACGACTTCCTTAATAATTTAGAGGGTAGATATAGGAGCCATTTATTAATTAATTCAAACAATATTAGTTGTGTACTTTTTATGTCCCAGAAATCATCATCCTTGATCAAATCCCCACACTGTACTTCTGAGCACTGTGATCTTGTGCATGCTATCTTACTTCTTAAACATTTCAGCAACATATACTTTATTGTCTATATTGCTATCTATAATGTAAGATCTTGTTAATTGTTTATCCATGCGTGATAATTGTGAAACATTTCATTTTAGTTTGACATATCAGTAAACTACCTATATTTATAGCTCAATGTACTGTTCTATACTCATGGGTGTTTAATGTAACTCTTTCTCAGGTGTATAAGTTAATGAATTAGAGAAAAAACAAAGTAAGTGTAGTAGTCTCCCCTTATCCCTGGGGGATATATTCCAAAACACCCACTATATGACTGAAACTGTGGGTAGTACTGAACACTATATATACACTATTTTTCCTATACATACATAACTATGATAAAGTTGTTACATAAATTAGGCACAGTAAGAGATTAACAACTAATTATTATTAGTAACTAATAATAAAATAGAATAATTACAATATACTATAATAAAAGTTATGTGAATGTGGTCTCTCTCCTTTTCTCAAAATATGTGGACATTTCCATTTAATATCTTCTGACTGTAGTTGACCAGGGTAACTGAAACAGTGGAAAGTGAAACCGCAGCCCTGGCCAGTTTGGCTCAGTGGTTGGAGCGTTGGCCTGCGGTGCAGAGAGACCCGGGTTCGGTTCCCGCTAAGGGCATGTGCCTCAGTTGCAGTTTGTCCCCGGCCCTGGTTGGTCGTGAGGGTGGCAGCCACTCGATGTGTCCCTTCACATCGATGTTTCTCTCTCTCTCTCTCCCTCCCACTCTATCTGAACAACAACAACAACAACAACAAAAAATGGAAAAATGTCCTCGGGTGAGGATAAAAAAAAGAAAGAAAGTGAAACTGCAGATAAGGGGGAAGGAACCACTGTACAGGTAAATTGTTTAAAGAATAAAATATTTTGATAAAATGCTTTTATTTTGAGGCCTTTCTTTATCATTAATAGTGAATCTATAAAATATAGTAGGAGTATACAGGAAATAGTAGTTGAATTTATGGTGAAGTTAACAAAATTGACACTTTATTTGAATAATCAAAGAACAAGTGAATCTTCCAGGATGTATTAGGGTAATCTTAATTTAAGCTATCCAATTTTGTTTTTAATTTTAAATTTAAAAATGTAAAAATCTTAATCTCCATTGTTGAATATTAGATCATTGTTATTTAAATTTCACTTAGAATTTTTTGTGACTCATTGTGCAAAATTGCAATTTGTTTTCTAAAACTTCTAAAGAATAAAAAAGTTACTTTATCTGAATATAATAATAAATTCAAAAGTAGTTACAGGTGCCAACTGCATAGCTGCCATGAGCCCTTGTCCCTAAACATGTTAGAGACTGGTGGCTGTAATGGTGTTTGCCTTAATGCATTTAGAGATCAGGAAATTTAGACTTGTTCCTATGGGAGGTTAAATATGTTCAAATTGGAAGAGGAAAAAGGGTACAAATCTTGAACAGAGAAATCTCGTTTCTTCCAAACAGTGGAGATATGAAATTGAAATTAGACCTTTATTTTTATAAATAATGGCTAAAAGTCATTGTTCCAGAGTTAAGCTAGCAAACAGTGTTTATACTTTTTTTTTTAAGGCTCTGTTATTTGCTAGTTTTATGCTCAGAAAATGTTTTCAGCCATCCTAATGATGCTTACAATGCATGATTATTTTTCATGGAAGACAGTCTATTGACTCAAAAATTGTGCAGAAGAAAAAGTGCTAATTTTCTGTTTTCAGTGAAAT